TCCTCAGCAGAGACCCAAGTTGAACCTTAAGCCCCGTAGCGTGCCCAAGGAGGAAGAAGGCAGTGGCGGCGGCGGCGGTGGCGGCAGCAGCAGCGGTGGTGGTGGCAGCGGCGGAGGTGGTACTTCCCCAGCTGCAGCTCCAAGCTCCGGCAGCAGGGCCTCATCCATCTTTGGTGCGGCAAAGCCGGTTGACACAGCAGCCAAGGAGAGGGAGGTAGAAGAGAGGCTGAAGAAACAGGAAGAGAGGCTGCAGAGGCAGCTGGAAGAGGACAAAGGCCGGGGACCTGACAGAAAGATGCGAGACAGGTCAGTGGTTTACATGGATGGTCTCTAAGTAACTGAGTTGGTGGCTACTTAATTTGTTATTTATGAAGTCAAAGTACAGTTTTAAAATAATAATCCCTATTTTAGGAGGAGTTGATGTTATTTATGCTTTAATATAGTTCAGGTTTTTGCAACAGTGCTGCAAACCCCTATGTAAGCTTGTTTTTGTTGTTTTCAGGGATCCAAGCTGGCGCAATGAGGAACCTCCTGCTGAGCGATCTCGCACAGGAAGTGAGTCTTCACAGCAAGGAAGCACTTCTGGAAGAGGTGAGATACCGCTGCATTTAATTTCATTTAGACATAGCTTGCCTTCAGGAATGTGGTTTTTTCCCTGTAAACCTGAAGAGGCAAGTTTTACGTCTTTGAGTGACTGTATCCAATTTCTGTGTCTTTCTTTTAATCAACACACAATTTTCATTTGGGACCTGTGTTCTGTCAGTCGCATCACAATCATGCAACCTTGTAAAGCATCGAAACTTCATTCTATAAGCTGTTTGTTAAAACGTTTTTTTTTATTGTGTCTCAGTAATCTCAAAAATGCTTCTTCCTGCACTGGGAGCAATAAAACCATTCTTTTAACAAAACAACCAAGACAAACTAAAATGGTGAATATCTCATCAAGTAGTAAAAGTTCTGTAAAATAATCCTCAATGATGTAAAAGCAGTAAGAAACAATGTGTGGGTTTTCCCAACCAGGGTCCCGGTGTCGAGATAGTGAGCGCTCTGGGGATAATGAGGTTTTTAGTGGGAGAGATGGTGAGCCTTCCTCCCCTGGGACCTCCCCACAGCCCCCCCCTATCAGCTCCCCTAAGGAGCCACTGAAGGTGATGCCTGCACCTCCTCCCAAGGAGAACGTCTGGGCTAAGAGAAGTGCAGCCAGCACAGGCTCTAGTGATGGTGATGGACGACCTCCCGTCTCTCCTGTCTCCACAGGTGGTTCAGCTCCTCCAAAGCTCAGGTGAGAACACAAGCAGAACATATGCTGTATGTTAGGAGGCCTTTCGAGAACGCACTGCTCAGAAACACAAACAATCAAATTATTGGGCAGTTTTCACACCAAGAATGAGCTTGTAGAAAAGTTTAACATTCATGTGTTTTGTATACCTGTCCCTGATTGTTCTCACTTTCTCTTTAGCTCCCCAAGTTCTGCAGATGAAAGAGGATCTGGAAGAGGTAAGGCCTACTTAATGCTTGGCACAAAACAAACCTCAGTGTAGTGTGACTCTGGCGCAACTATAAAAGGAATCAACAAAAACAAAATCTAAAGAAGGAAGACATTTATGTAAACAAATGTTGGCATACATCCCAGGAATATGTGACAATCATTTTTTTTTATTATAGCAAAACTCAAAGTCACATCAGCAACCCTGTGAGACTGTAAAGGTTATTACCCAGAAAAAAATGTAAGTGGTGGATGGGTGAAATAATTTTCACTAGTGAGGTGAAATGCCAAGTTTGGTGTTAGTGGACAGGCCATGTTTTTACCTTTTTAATCAAAACTACTTATCCTCCTTACGGTAGCCAATTTAGGACATATTAGACCAACAAGGCTTGGCTCTACATTATCAGACTAGGCTCGGCTTTCATTAGCTTCAGCTTCTCTTTGTGCTTTAAGATAATAGCTAATGTTAGCATGTTCACATTCATGATCACAACTACTATTATTGCACAACATATAGTGACATGTTAAACATTAGCGTTAGCATTAATCTCAGATTATATCAGATTAGGATTCATCTCCTGGGGCCAATGAACTATAAATCATGGCAGTCCATTCAATCATTTTTCCTTTAGATAATTATTTCTGGACCTTGGAAGTGTTTGACTTACGGACCAACTGGCACTGCCATCTCTAGAGCTTCAATGCTAGCGTGGCTGAAAGGTTCTCAACCTGTGTAGATTGTTTCTGAAAGTGTAGTTTCATATTACATCCTACAGCCCTCGCATGAAATTGCATTCTGGACTGTGATCCACAATCCAGTCATTGTCTTTTCCTTGTTGATTGTAGTTTGACCTGAAGAAGCTTGACCCCAGAAAGTTGATCTCTAAGTCCATTTGCAACCTCTTTTTCTTTTTGTGATGATTCTTAAATGTTGACATTAAAGTGGTTTCAAACTCCTGTGTGGTCCAGAAAAGGCAACTGAGGTTTGCACGAAAATGGATCTGGGGTTTTTAATTAATTCAGTAAAGTCTATAAAAGGTAAAACTAAACTCCACTATACAGACTGGAAATCAGTTCACCATTGTACATCCAGTATTTTCCATCAAGACTAGCTCACTTACAAGAGGAAGTGCAGCTGTGTTATCCTTACTTTTCACACTGCTTCTCATCGGTATCGTAATGGACATATTTGGCAAGGTGAGAATGTGTCTGATAGGAGCAGCTCATGAGCTCATCTTCCTGCAGAGTGGATTCATTACAAGGGAGCACAAAAATATGTCTCACATTAGTCTGTATCAAAGTGTCAAAAAATAAATAGATCTCAGGTTCAGACTCCAGCAATCTGACCAAACCTGAAAACATTGAATACCTACATTGTCAACAGTGCTGTATCAGTAGAGGACTTTCTTTTCTTTTTCTTTTTTGCTTTGGAAACTTTTGGCATAAATTTCAAGCCACTATCAAATTGAAAGGTGCTGAGTTCCAGTGTACAAGCTTAGCTTGCATTCAAACAGTTGTGCACCTCTCATTTGGCCCTCCATCAGTGACTAACACGTTTTGAATCCAACCCAGTGGCTTTTTATGCTGCAGTGTGTTGTGAGTGTAGTCCACTGTAAAAGTCCACCAACCTCCCTTCACTCATCTGTCTGGCTTCTTATTTAAGATGAGAACAAGGCTGACGGTGTGCGTCGGGACCGGGGGCCCCCGCGGGCACGAGGGGGGCCTGCAGGGCCTGGAGCAGGGCGGGGCCGAGGAGAGGGGCCCAACAGAGACCGAAGAAAGGAGGCAGACAGGTCAGCCATCCAAAGCTAGCAGCTCCAAAGTTGTTAATGACAGGGAGGACATTTACTGGGCATCTGTAAAGACTGGCCTATGCTCAGCTACACAACTGATGATTCATTGCTCCTTGTGTTGTGGACACCATGATTTCTGGTGTGCACGTTTTAATGCTTTAACTTTTTTACACCAGCTGGTTACAATCGCCATTGTCATCATGATCAAAACATCAAGAGTACAACATAAGTTACTACTGAAATTTTGAACATTTCTGAATTTTATTTTAAGTTTTTCTTCTGAAACTGATGATTGTGCACAGTGTGAACTAGGTGCCAAGTAGCTTGTAGATGTGAATTTTCAGATGATGCAAATGAGCATAGTTTGTGCTCCTTTAGTTTGTGTTGTTAGCTGTGTTTTAAGGATTCACAGCAAGGGTTAACTTTCCAGCGCTGAGACCTGCCGATACATTTTAATCTGGGTGTTAATTCTGATTGTAGAAAGGATAACAGAAGAGACCGAGACTCCAGACCACCCCCAGAGCCAAAGAAATTCGAAGAAACCCCAACCCCCGTAAGTCCTTCACTGCCAAGGTTTAGTGAGACTTTGATGTCACCAAAATTACTCTTCATTAAAGGGTTTCCCTAAAGTCTCAAGTCATTTTACCTCAGCTCCCCCCGTACATTAGTTTTTAAAAACATCCTTTGACAGCCCAGGTCACAGAATCATTGTCCCTAATGTTGTTTCTTGTTCCTTGAGAAAGATGACATCTTTGCTCTCTCCTGTCTACGCTTTATTTGTTTAGCATCCATAGCTACTGTACCGATCCAAGTTGTATTTTCTTGTTATTTTTTTTCAGAAGTTCAGCTCAGCCAGTAAGTACGCCGCTTTGCTAATGGACGGAGACCAAGGAGACGACGCGGAGGACGTAGACTAGAAAGAAAATAACGAGATGAGGCCTGAAAGACGAGGAGAAAACGAAGACCGCAGAAAAAAATAAATAATCTCACATAGCTTATGAAAAAACTCCTCACATGGAAGAGGCTCCTGGGAGGGAGGACAAAACTCCCTCCCTTCTTTCCTCCTTCAAACCTGTCCTTTACTTTCAAAACACCCACCCATCCTCCCTCCCCTGCCCCACCTTCAAGACTATTCAGGTTCTAAAGAATAGTCGCATACTGGACTTGTTTTAAATGGAAAAAAGGAGTAGCTGACATGACAAAGTGATGGATAAAATTGAATTAATTGTAATAAATAAATGGAAAAAGTGGGGAAAAAATCAATTTGTATATTTGTGGATCACAGGTGCGGTAAGGTTGGCTTGTATGACACAGTGTGGTTTAGTAAGTTTGTTTTTTTATATCAACTTTTGACTGATTGACTTAATTCTCAGATTAAATGCATAACTATTAATTATAAGGCCATTTTATTCATTAGTAAGTAATTTGGTATTAGAATTATTTTAAATCAACCTCTTAAATCAAATTTATTTATGGAAATTAGTCAAGAAAATCCTGTCTTCCAATACTAACAGTCCTGATTGCTGAGGCTGGCTACTAATTTAAAAAACAATTGTCAATCATGTGTGCACTATTGATTGAATTAGTCCTAAACTGATTGACAGAATTACAAGAGAGGACTGTAATACATAGGCTACATTATTGCAGGAGTAACTTGTGTGTTGAGACTGAAAGGAAAAACAGACGCTACACGATTCTCACTCAGAGAATCCAGTGCCATTACCATCATCCCTAATCATTGTACAGATGTCTCTCTATTTTCTACACCCTCTGATGAAATAATCAAATCAATTAAAGGCTCATAATGGACGTTTCCAGTCATCTGAAACATCCTCCACAGCTGTCTAAATCATTCACTCTTCCTGAAGTGGGGAATACAAATATTTGGGGAAAGTCTGGAGTTGGCTTTAGTAGAGTGTGAGGATTTCCATGAGATTACATGAACCTGTCTTCCAATTTGCAATAAATTGGGGTCATTATGTACATTTAAATAGTATGTCGTCATTGTATGCATTTCTGGAGGGATTCAAGCTGAGGGTTGAGCGCCTCGTAGGCCAAACTGCAGCTCCTCTTTACTGCCTTTGTTAACCCGGCAAGGCCCTACACGCGCTTTTGTGACAGCGTGGCATTTTAAATGAACCTGGTCAGTCGCAGGATTGCGAGTTGCATCCTCAGACGCATCACTTTTATGTGCAACAACAAAGTATTTTTTCTGTTCTCCTGGTGTGGTCTGAGAGGCAGACGGTTAGCACAGTATTTCTTCGGTCTCAACCCCCTGTTGAGCACTGGACTCCTGGTGGCAGCTGGTTAGGCTCCTGCTGTGCTTCACATCCCACACACATACACACAGAGGGCACCCACTTTGCTGTAAGACAGGACTCCTCTAGACTCCTCAGCCACTCTTATCAATGAACATCGGCATACTAGAGACTGACAGAAGGAATGGTGACTAACAGCTAGCAAAATACCCTCTAATGTAGAGTTCGTCGTATAATAATTACTCAGGAAAGAGTTTGTGTATGTTGAAACTCAGCCGTGGCACACCAGAGTTTTCCAGGTCATTATCTGTTGCAAACAAATCGGCCCTGTGTTAGTTTTAGGCATTTTGGTGAATATTGTTTATACTGAAGTGGTCACTCATAAAAGCATGAGATAAAGAAATGCTGACTCAGTGTTTAGTATCAACTGCCTGTGGACAATAAACATGAGGTCTTAGGATGTCCACATTACAATTACACAAACTACAAAAGGTCTTTTGCTTTTTATGTCTACGTTTCTGTGAATGGTGGCAGCAATAATGAAAATTAGAAACAAATGATCATCTAGGAGAACAAATATTAGGGATAAGTAAAATTGTTCCTGTTGTGTACATTCAGCATAGTTCTGTGTAGTGTGTGTACACACTTTGTACATTACTCAAGTACACTTTCAAAGTGATTGAGTATTTTAATTTTATGCAATCTTATATTGTACTCATTTATTTGACAGCTTTAGTTACCTTATAGATTCAGACTATACATACAAACATGATCTGGTCATAAAATATCATACATTGTTAGGAATTAAACTACTGGCAGCCAACAGTGTATAAGGTAGTTAACAGCTTCACCTCTACACGCTACAACATGACAGTGCTGCTTTCACATTAATGCATCAGCAATAAAAATCTAATAATATAATGGTATTCTGCTGACTTTTACTTGGATTATTTTTACATTAGCCTGTAGTATTCCTGCATTAGTAGAGCTCGAAATACTCCCTTTACTGTCAGAGAAGAAGGGGCTATATCTTAGAGTTTGTGTGAGTGCAGCCAACCCACCCACCACCAGACCCTCACTCCTGTTGCCATTTGAAATTGGCAGCTGATCCACTCAGGAGGGTCCTTCCTTCCTCCGCTTTAAGCCACAACATGCCTGGGGTTTGCGTCACTCAGGTCCCTAGGAGATGTATCAAGTTAAATTCCCCGTCATCGTTTACTAATTTCACCTGTTATTGTTAACTACACACGTCTGCAGCTGGAGCTGTAACACAGAGGCATCTCTCAAGTTGCTGCAATTTTTTTACTTAATCAACTCAATGAATTAATGCACAGTGATGGTTTGTTGCCTAATTTAGCCTCGCAGCCACGGATTTGTCTCAGTTTAAACCAAGGGCCGCTTTGTATGATCTCACCAGGGGCCAAAAACATGGTTTCAGAAAGAGCTTATTGTTGGAGATTTTCCCCTCACAACCCCTAAAACCTCCAGCTTAAAGCAGTTTTTTGTCTGGAGAACCCAGTTTGGGGAAATACAGTTATGTGTGTGTGTGTGTTAGAGAGAGAGAGAGCTGTAGTCTGAAGGAATTTAACGAGGGGAGAAGCAGATATAAGATTTAAGCACAGAGCCTATCATTGTTTTCATTTCAGTGGAGGGAGCAACAGAGGGAATCAAAAGAGGACATTAATATTGGATTGTCATGTGTCCTATATCAGACAGGGCAGTGGAGTTAATCACATCTAGCATTTTCACATCCAACGGAGATGCAGAGATGTAAAAAAAAAAAAAAAATTTGCCAATTTATTAAGTATCCAGGCAAGCAGATAGTTAAGTCTTCACTTACAACAAGCGGAGGCAGTAGTGGGATCAAGCCCACAGTACGTTCTCATGTGCAAAGTTACAGCGTCTAGAGGGATGACGTGTGTGAAAGGAGCTCTATCTAATCACTCCCCCATGAGAAAGGAGAGAGCGAGAGGGGCTGAAGTGAAGCCAAAGGAAAGGGGAAGGGCCTGACATCAACAAGCCAAAACAGCTGCCCCCTTCTCCCCTGTGGAGGGACAGCAAGAGGAGCCTGATGGAGCGAGGGAGAGGGGAAGACTGGAGGGTCTGTAAGTGCGAGAGAGCGCTGTGCAAGACATTTGAGGGTCTGTGAAGGCGAAGGAGAAGAGAAGGAGGTACTGGCAAGTGGAAAGGGAGAGGTGTTGAGTGTATGCTTGTGTGCTTTCAGAGTTAGGATAGCCTGGGAGCAAGGGACAGGGAAGAGTGTAAGAGGAGAGAGAGAGAGAG